GTTTACTATGTAAATGCACAAATTTGATTGTTTTATTGTTGGTCATTTGCTGATATAGTTTAATTGGGATAAAGTAATAATGTCCTAGTCATGAGGATAAACCGTTACTAGCGAGTCATCATATAAATGAGATACTTGGTGTCAGATTCCTGGCACGATACGAAATTGACCAAAGGATACTCGTCATGTCACAGCATAAAACGAGTACTACTAGTATGACGTAATTAAAATTTTCGTGTCCTTTTTAATTTCAACAACTGCGCAGATCTAAAAAGACATTTGACTACGTACAATTGTTTGGTTATTCCTGGGACAGAAGATCTTCCGTTCCAGGTTATTCTTAAAGTATGCAGTGAACACGGAGCCAAATTACGCGTGCATAAAACCTCGCTTGTATTATTTTTATACACGTAAAGCGTATCAAATGCCATATTTTAGCTGTAGGCTATTTGTCAATTATGAGGATAGATCTATCCGTTGTCGTCTGTCGTCTGTGGTTATTCACCAGTGCCTCTATTGTCACGAAACTAAGTCAGAAAAATTGTCTAATTGATTACTCAAAAAAGTTCGAATATCGGTCATCTGGGATGAAAACTAGGTCAAATGATTAACAAACAGAGAAAACGTTGTTAACACACAAACGACTATATTTCAGCCGAAATATAAAGGTTATTTTGCTGTTTTCTGGCCCAATTTCAAATATGGGCAATTTGGGGTTCAAATACTAGATCACAGAGAAAATAATATGGAAAAGAAACTTGTATACACTATAGAGGTAACATTTTCAGGTAAAATTGCCTTCAAATTTGTCATAACTTATTTCTAAGGCATATTGTTCATACTTTAATTTACATTTTGTGATAGCGTTAATTAAACGCAATTAATATAGATTCTTAATAAATTCTTAATTGCAAAAGTAACAACGCATGAAATTTTAAGATCAAAATTGTAATTTTGAATTAATGAGTGAAATCACTCTAAAACGCTAGGTAGGTAAGATAAAATATTGACATGCGATCTTAAAATATGATAACAGAAACATAAATTTTAAAAGAGACCAAAGTGTGGTTCACATACATTGTATTTGCGTTTTCTGCCTTCGAATAGTTTTTTAGGTCATTACAAGAAGAGATAACTTATACGTAATTCTTTTTTTAAGAACATTTGTAATGTTTTAAGTACAATAAACTACTTATCTCAATATTTTACAAACTTTACACAATCATCCAAATTTAGCGATGTGAAAGCAGAAATAGAAACAACTCCTTCATAACCTACATTGTGAGTTGAATAAAAAAGAATGTTAGAACGTCATCAAATAAACATTTTAAGTATATTATTATGTATATTAACATTAAAATCTGTTATGATAATGAATGCAACTCATTTTAACGAATTCAGAAGCTTCTGTTTTTTGGGGGATTTTTTTTTTTTGTTATAGAAATTATAAAATTTCAGAATAGTTGACTATAAAGTCTTATGACTAAAATTAAGTAAGGAGTATATGATTTGTACTTTCTATATGTATATAATTACATGAACTGTTTTTTGTTATAAAGTTTGAATCTTAGAATACATGGTATCGCATCAACGATACAACAACCTACAACAACCATCGGTGATTGATCGGTAGTTTTTTAGCTTAGCCAAATTATGGAGTGAACCAAAGACAACGTATTTAACACCGATATCACCTGTTGGTCACCTGTTTTCCACCTATCAACTGCTATTGGAAAAGATAAGTTTTATCGGTGAAAAATTACCGATTGGGATTTTTAAACATGTTTAAAATTCTCGATCGGTGAAAATATTTTACAAATAACCGACAGCAACCTATATCACGAGATATGCAAGCTCTTAATCACCGATATCGCCGATCGGACAAAGATAGCCAAATATAAATCACCGGCCATATCTGACGGAAAATGTTTAACCACTGATGACTAGCTATCAAACACCGATTAATCAGCGTTACGCCCGATTTAGCTCCGATTTTACAAACGATAAAAAACAGATTAGTAATTCAGCATTTTTATCACCTATCCAAACACCGTTTGAGTTTGCTTTCTGTCACTGATGGCCATTTACACAGATAACCAGAAATAAAATAACGCATGACAACCCATCATAACAGCGAGTAAATTTAGAATTAAATGACTGATTGGGGATCGACCGTCTGTGTAACTGGCCCTTAACAACGCACAATGCATGAATATCATAAACAATTACTGCAATTTACAAAGAACCTGCAAAATAACTGTATATCTTTGTTAATACCAATAGTGGGGAGTAACTGCCCGGTGGAAATTAGAATTGGCTGTTATTCAAGTCTTGGATAACGGTGATTTCTTTGAATTTGGAAATGGTTTATTAACGTGGCGTCATGATATGGAATGTCCTTAGTGGAGTTGAGTAGTCCACAGGAGGATCGATAGATGGATCAAACCACCAGGGATATTATTTTTTGGGGGGGTGGGGGGTTTACACTGCCCCAACACTGTATAGGACATGTGGCGACTTTTCACTTTGACATGCGGAGGAAGATCTCACGTGTCCTTCCGTGCATTATTTTAGACACGAGCAGGCACCTTAGTATAACCACCAATGTTCCGTCAGCTAGCTGAATAGCTTCCTCCCATTTAATAATTATATGTCCCTGTCGGGATTCGAACCCACAGCAATGAAGGGCAAGTGTTTTGAATTAAACGATCTTAACTACTCGGCCACGTGAAAGGGCCATCAGCGCAAAACATTTAAAATGCCATACTTCTTTTTTTAAGATAGTGTCATTTCTGGTAAAATGAAGCACATTGCCAATATTAAAATCATCCTAGTATACTATCATTAAATTTGTCACTGGTTTTATATTTATTTTGAAAGTATTGCTTTGTTTTAGTACATAATTATCATAAAAAAACAACTTATTCACACTTTCCGATAATATTTACATCGTTACATTTGTTCAGATAAACTATATTGTTAAAGTCGTAGAACATGGTACTTTATATGTATAGTGTACAAAACAATGCTCTGCTTTATTAAGTAGTTAAAAGTATTGTATTCCAAAGTCGTTAATTTTATACAAGAAAAAGATGAAAATTCAATTTCAAAGCAGCATGCCTCCAGATAAGCAAACATTTTTCAATAAATTCAAACTTGTGAAAAATGTACTAAGAGTTTAGGAAAAGTAGAAAGGTTCAAGATTTGAGTAATAATTTGCATGTTATCAGCAATTAATGGTAAATTTTTCAATATAAGTATCTATATTTCTACTGCGTTACTAACGCAGTAAGGGCTTTTACCTCTTGTCGAATTAATGTGGGTTGAAGGTGCCTTTGATAATGTGTAAACTACTTCCATTTTGTTACTTTACGACAATATACATTTAACTACATTTTCATAATTTACATGAAATTAAGCATTAATCTGAAGGTGTGCTGCTTTAAGCATCGTTTCCAATGCGTACTTGTTCTTTCTTTTAAAGTTCTCATATGTTGGCAAAATTTGTTTTTCCTCAGCGCGACATATACACTTAGAAAAAAGAGTTTCTTTATCTTCAATTTAGTGTTGAATAATATCCACAAGGAAAAAAACAAAGACCAAGTAAACAAAACAACAACAACAAACGATATCTTATTCAAAATACATTCGGCTATCATCAGATATTTGATGCTTGTTCAAATGTTACCAATATGTCCATGGAAACAGATTTTTAGGTTTTATACAAAAATTTATGTCTTTTTTATGCTTCAAGTTTGGCTGTATATTCATTTTCAGTTAAAAATGATTTAAATAAATGACGAATTTAAATAAAATTTGAAGGTGGTAGACACTTAGAAATTAGAAGCTAATACAAAAAAACAGCACACAAAATGAATAATTATCGAGGAAAAATCTTATCTTTTTTTAATGCAGCTTGTCCTGAAATATCTATCAAAATGAAATTTCGAAATTCATTTTATTCTTTAGGCTTATAAAGGAAGATATTACTCATGTATCATTATAAGTTTATTGAACCACTTGGACTATTAGTAATTCTGCACAATCCGGTCCTGCAGTGTCGTGTATGAATCTCTTAAAGGGCGTTATCGATTTGTTAGTGCGTATATATAGTAGTCAATTCACAATTCTGAACTTGTTTACCCGATTATGAATGATTGAAATTGCTTTAGTACAGAAGATGAATGCATAGTGATTTGCATGCTATGGATTCTTCTGATAGAAAAGGATTCATTCATAGAAAAAATCATTATCAATATATTTGAATATCTTTAATTAAATAAACTAAATAACGTTGGACTTAAAACTATTGTAATTGATAATGTAAATTATATACTACTTATATCAATATAACCATATAATTTGTTGGATATTCATCTTATGCCTATATTTTATGCGTATTCTAAAAGTGATCACTTAAATGTTATTTGGCACAGTGTATATACCACCATTTGTACTACAATTTAAACCTGGTATCATACATAAGCCTCATGATACTATATGGAAACTAAGTCAACGAAATATTTAACCGAATTTTTATACCACACTGACCCTGCACATGATCAATATGTAAGTTGTGTTGAAATTATAAATCTATGTCAATAACCTTGTTTTATTAAGGTAACTGCCAGTAGTACAAAGTTTAAAATATAATTTACTTCCGTTTGTTTCCGAATTCCCAGAAGGTCTTTTCAAAGAAGAGAATACGACTTATTAAGCGACGTTATTACATGTCAACGATTTGTAGAGGTTGCAATAATACGAAAACTTATACCAAAGAAAATGGCTGTTGCAATTAACAAATATGAAGAAGAAAAGTATTACCGCCGGAATGATTCTTAGCGGTGTTGGAGATGCATTGGGATACAGAAGAGGCAATTGGGAATTTTGTTTGGATGGGAATTTATTATTCACGAAGAGCTAAAGCATCTGGGGGTCTTTCGAAACTGAAAGTTAATACGAAAGAATGGATGGTCAGTGACGATACTGTTATGATTTAGCAACCGCTGAAGCTCTCATAAAACACAAGCAAAGTGTTGATAAATTAAAGTTATACAGGACATTTCAAACAATTACATTCGTTGCATGAATGATATGGTCGGAAGGGCACCAGGAATAACATGTAAAGAAATGTGCAGACGTCTTCAACCCGACAAACCTCCAAATGGATTGAGAATTCCTTTTAATGCAAGAGGGGGTGGATGCGGTGCTGCGATGAGGTCTATGTGTATCGGGTTGAGATTTCCACATGATGTGCAAGTCAACGATTTAGTTGAAATAAGCATAGAGTCAGGAAGGCTTACTCACCATCATCCAACTGGATACCTTGGCTCACTAGCAGCAGCTCTATTTACATCATACGCTGTCCAAGACAGGCCACTGAAAGAATGGGGTAAAGGATTGTTAACAACACTTGCGATTGCTAAAGATTATGTATCACAGGAAAAAGAAAACTTACATCCAGACATAGACACTATACAGCAAAATATTGATCACTGGAATTATTTTCAAGCGAAATGGGAATACTTCCTCCGAATGAGAAATATTTCTGACGGACAATCCGACCCAATTTTTTCACCGGACGAATACCAAGTGAAAAAACGTGACCAGATGTACCGCATGCTTAGTTATGACGACATCGGCGGAGCAAGTGGTCATGATGCACCAATGATCGCATATGATGCATTATTGGCTTGCAAAGGAAACTGGGATGATTTATGTCATCGAGCAATGTTTCATGGGGGCGACAGTGATAGCACTGGCGTTATTGCAGGTTGTCTTTATGGTATTTTACACGGCATTAATGCAGTCCACAAGAAGAACTATAAAGGGCTAGAATATTTTGACAGATTGAAAAATGTTGGCAAAAAATTGTTCCATCTAGCAGAAGAGGCAAATATTATGACAAGTACAATCGAATTAAAACCAGAAAGTGATGAGAAGTTAGAATATTGTGATAAAGATGGTGCTACTAAATCATCTTTCTCTGTGTCGTTTATCGAAGCCGGAGCAAATCCAGACACCGAAAAAGAATAGACAAATACATGTTCTGTCACGTCAAGTCAATAATGATTTGATGAACAAGTAACAAAACAATTCAGCAAACATAAGCAAAACGAAAACAATATATAGACTATGAAAAGCCTTTTGGAAAAATATATACGTTTTGATAAAAAAAATTGTGTTATCTACCTTTTATAACATCATGTAATTCTTTATCTTTTCTTTCGTCTAATAAAAAACATATATTTGACATCGCATAATATGTCTTCAATAAAATTTATTTAGTCATTCATTAAACTGTCGCGTCTATCTAGGTAAACACTACGCATGCCTCAATGACTTAGTTAATTAGACGCTAATTAGAAAAGTAGTAAACAGCTACAGTCGGAAATACGTCCCTCTTTCTTGTCAGTTTAAATCGTAATTTTTGTTATTAGCGTTAAATACGTACTTATATTTAATAACTGAGAGTGAACAGAAATAGAATATGTTTGTTTAACAGTTTCTTATTCTCGTTGTTGTAGATGTTTGGAGATCGGGGCTAAATCCATTACATATAAATACTATTTAACAAATAGATATCAACAAATTTATATATCGACATATATAGCATTTCGGTAACTAACAATATATATATATTTTTCTAAAGAAAAAATACTTTAGACACTATAAATACATTATTAGGATTTTTCCAATCGCAATAAAAAATTACCAACAATTTAAACATTTCATCAATAACAATTCCGTATTACAAAACAATAGATACTGTTAGTTGTCCTCAAATACCAATGTCAAATGTCATTTTTCATTTTAAATTAACGTTATAAAATATCTATTAACTTGTAATCTATAAAGCAACATTTTAACTACACCGAAGCCACCGTCAATTACAATCTTTTGACACTTTGATGGCTGAAATGTAATATCCAATAGTTATGCTCACGTTGTATCTTCATTACATTTCAAATATTTGATTGAAACTTGTATCTGATTCTACTGATTTAAGGTTTGCTCTGTACTTAACTGTGGCCACGGTAATTCAAAGATAATGCTTGGTATTCATTTTCCTTTTTGCAATTTTTTCCCGTGGTCTTCTGCTTATTTTTCTGATTCAGGTACATTCTTTAAAAGGACTCCATTAAGGTTTTTTACATGGCAGGATCGGAAATGTTGTTCCGATATCGATGTTCCGTATGCTAAAGATCTAGAACTTAATTGTGTGCAAAATCTTAGATCAATCGCTCACTATGTTTTTAAAGAATAATTATTCTAATTGTGTAAAATGACCTCAAATTGAAAAGCATTTTTGTATACGCTGATTGTCTTCCTTTTAACTATTCTCGTTTGTATTGGTTCTCTTTCACGTTTCTTCAAGGATAACAATTTGAAGTGTACAACACAAAAAGAATTATCCATATGTTAACAAGTTCAGTTAATAAACTAGCTAAAGACACAATCTTCATTGTCAAAAACTATTTAAAGAGTGTACTGTACGGGTTTAATGAATTGTGTGTGGTTTTTTTTTTAATGTTAGATCTATTTGATTTTCATATCTTCAACAGTGAAATATAAATTGGTTTAAACATTTTTATTCCCGAAAGTATATATAATGTACATACAAATAAATAACGAACAAAATATTTTTACACAATGGAAAAGAATGAGAATGAAAGACAAGTCTTATAGAATTCTTCTCCTTTGGCAAACTATATGGTTTGTCTTAAATAAGTTAATAGTAAGTATAAACTAGACAAGGGAATACTTAGAATTCAAGTTACGGTTTATATGTTACATGCAACGAATGACCGATTTAGCAGTATGTATCACCATTTTTATCCTGCGAAAATAACGCATTAATGGCTTTATTTAGGAAAACGATATCAATTATGTACGGTGTTCCGTTTGGACAGTCGTGATCTTTTTATTAAGTCTGTTATCGCAATGCACGATGGTACGATAGTAAAAACACGATGGTATGATGATGAAAACACGATGGTACGATAGTGAAATCCCGATGGCAAAATGATGAAAACGCGATGGTACGATGGTAAAAGCGCGATGGTACGATGGTGAAATCGCGATGGCACAAGGGGTGAAAGCGCGATATCACGATGGTGAAAACGCGATGGTATGATGGTGAAAGCGCGATGGTACGATTGTGAAAACGCAATAGCACGATGGTGAAACCGCGATAATACGATGGTGAAAACACGATAACGCGATGGTGCTTTGGTGAAAACGAGATAGTTCGATGGTGAAAATGCGGTGGTACGGTGGTGAAATCGCAATGGCACAAGGGGTGAAAGCGCGATATCACGATGGTGAAAACGCGATGGTATGATGGTGAAAGCGCGATGGTACGATTGTGAAAACGCAATAGCACGATGGTGAAACCGCGATAATACGATGGTGAAAACACGATAACGCGATGGTGCGTTGGTGAAAACGCGATGGTACGATGGTGAAAATGCGGTGGTACGATGGTGAAATCGCAATGGCACAAGGGGTGAAAGCGCGATATCACGATGGTGAAAACGCGATGGTATGATGGTGAAAGCGCGATGGTACGATTGTGAAAACGCGAAAATACGATGGTGAAAACACGATGACGCCATGGTGCGATGGTGAAAACGCGATGGTACGATGGTAAAAATGCGATGGTACGATGGTGAAATCGCTATGGCACAATGATGAAAACGCGATGGTACGATGTTGAAAGCCCGATGGTACGATGGTGAAATCGCGATGGCGCGATGGTGAAAACGCGATGGTATGATGATGAAAACGCGATGGTACGATGGTAAAATCGCGATGGCACAATGATGAAAACGCGATGGTATGATGGTGAAAGCGCGATGGTAGGATTGTGAAATCGGAATGGCACGAGGGGTGAAATCGCGATGGTACGATGGTGAGCACGATGGCGCGATGGTGCGATGGTGAAAACGCGATTGTACGATGGTGAATACGCGATGGTACGGTGGTGAAAACATCGCGATTTCACCATCGCACCATCGCGATTTTACCATCGTGCCATCGTGTTTTCACCATCGTACCATCGTGCCATCGCGTTTTCACCATCGTACCATCGTACGTCGTGGGTACAAACTAAATAAAAAATCACGATTGTCCAAACGAAACACCGTAATTCTGAGTGCATTGTTGTAGAAAAATGCACGGTTTAAGTTCACATGCGTAGGAATATAATGACGAACGCCGATAAGCTGTACAGACGTTTAAAGTGTTGTTTACGTGACGTCACAATATAGCGCCAAACAGCGCGTGCAAAGAACATCAAAACAAGAACGCTAGTTCAATGTCGCAAACCAATTAAATTTCACATTTATTTCGCTATGAATACTCTGTATTTCGCTTTAAAAATATAAAGTGAAATGAAATAAACACACACACATTTTTTCAAAAACGTTTTCAAAATTTATCATTCTCAAGATTTTTCTGCAAACTTATTGACAGTTTGCTTTTATCAACCGACTGGAACAGCCTTTAAAGAACTTTCTTTTGAAAACTCTGAGGCGAAAACAAATTAAACAACCAAACATTTAGCCCAACTTTATTTTTTCTTGACGTGTCAGAATGGAAATAGATATTAATTCTACGTGCATTGCGGTATAATAATGCATGGCTTTCGTTCAAATGCTTTGTAATTAATCACTCAGACCTACCGGCCTTCGTGATTAAATTCCTACGCATTTAAACTCGTTTCGTGCATTCTTCTACAACAATGCACTCAGAATTGATATCTATTTCCTACTAAGTGTTTGAAATTATTTTTGTCCAATAGGATTGCAGTATTTCAAATTAATCGTAACACATTTACTTTCTGTGAATCAGTCTAGTAAATCGGTTGTTTATAAAATAATGAAAAACACTAAAAAGGTTAAAATTTATTAGTACATATTTACAAAATTAGATTGATCTCGCGGCCGCGCCGCGCCAAACCAATGTAATTTCATAAATACGTACTAATAAACTTTAACCTATACATATATCACGCTTCAGGCCTTTTATCTTTATATAAGAGAAATATCCGATGGTGTTAGAATGTATATTTTGGCATTTATTTTGAAATTTACGTGAAAATGTTCTACGGATTTAAATACATTTTCAAATTTTTGATGAAAATTATCATGAATCTGGAGGGTTCTGCTTTATTCAACACAACTCTTTATATCATTAACAAAGTAACTTAAACCCTAATTTTATTAGGTATTTTCTCATGCTTATGCTTTATTTCATGTTCAAATACACCAAATAAAAAACCTGTAAAAAAAAATTAAAAAAAGTGTTGATAAAACATTGTCATTCATATTGTCTTCTTGGAAGCGTGTAAAGGGTTTGACCTCGTTTGTCCACTTAAAGCATCAATATAGATTTGACCCCGCTTTATCGATTTTCCTTAACAATTTGACGCGTTTACACGACACTTCCTGGAAGCAAAAAACTTACTGACGTTTACTGATTTTTCTTATTTTAAAATTTTATTGTATGACCTATTATATATAGTTGTATGGTTCTTCGTGAAAGCGTTATTTTTAGCATAGATATAGATTGTACGATTCAGATTTCACCCCTTTATACAGCTTTTCATATAAGCATAGATATATGACAATGTTTGAACGGTTCTACATGGATGTATTTATATGGATTTAATACCGTTTGTATGGTTCTTCGTGAAAATTAAAATATAGATTTGACTTTCTTTTTACGGGTCTTCTAAGAAGTATAAATATAGAATTTACCTATTTTGTTCTACACTTTGGAAAACATGATAATAGTTGTGGCTTTGTGAAAACAGCCTTTTTCATGTGAGCCTAAGAACGAGTGAAATCGAGATTATACTGACATCCTTAGAAGAAAAATAGATTTGCTGTACGTATATAAATAGATAAAAGGGTATGCTTTCTGGAAACAAAACAATAGATAAGACCTTGTCAGCGTTTATTCTTGAATGAACATGTAAAACAATCTTTATAGAGTTTAGACTGCATGCATTTTAAATCAGCCAATAGACCTTTTTACAATACGATTTTCCAAAGTAACGAATGTTGCATTTCGCGCATGCGCATTCTGCGTAGGGCAAAAAGCAATAACGATGTCTACAGTCTATCATACTTTAAGGCTTTAATA